AACCAAAAAAAAAAAAAAAAAAAAAAAAAAAGAATAAAGAAATGGGTGGGAGTAGAGGGAGATTTTTTAAATTACCCATAATTCCATAACACAGAAACCACCAGCATTAATATTTTGGCATATTTCCTTCTAGTCTTTTTTGTCCTATGCAATTTTCTATAGCTGAAATCAAACTACATGTGTGTATTTATGTTTATTTTTCATTAGAATCTTCCCATGAAGTGAAAAATTCTCCCTAAACATTATTTTTAGTGGTGCAGAAGATTTCATTGTATAGATATGCCATAACTGTCTGAAATCATTCCCCTCCTGTTTTACATTTAGGTTTTTTCCAGTTTTTCACTCTCAGGAATAACAATGTGATGATTAGCTTTATGTACAAATTTTTATCCATATTTTTGCTTATTTCCTTAATTCAGATTTCCAGAAGTATAATTCCCAGGTCAAAGGATATCTTTGCATAATTCTTAAAGAGCTCACATTCCAAAACAAAGACCTACTTACGGCTTTTTTCCACAAACACTTTCCCTACAGGCTGGCTAATACCAGTGGGTGCAGTCAGTACAGACTGTTGTTCTGGACTACTTTGCTCATCAGTAATTATGTCTTCATCTTCAACTCCTAGCTCATTGGCATAATGTAATTCTGCTGGCTGGGTTTTCCTATAATCAGGGAGAAAGTAAGAAAAATGGATGATTATTAACTTTTTACAGACCCAAATAAGGAGGTACCTGTGAGTCTCGTGGAAAGAGCCTTGGACTTGGGAGTCACAAAATTTGGTTTTTACTCAAATGGATCAGTTATTAACTCTTATGCACAGCAAGTCATTTTTATTTCTGTGGGCCTCAGTTTTCTCATCTGGAAAATGAAGTGACTGAACGAGATTCCTAAGCTTCTTCACAGATTTAAAATTACATGATTCTATATAGATATTGATCTCTATTTGCAGAGTCACTTCCAAGTACAAACAAGTAATATAACTTCCAGTGAACTTCTTTAAAGAATACCATTATAGGGCTTCCCTGGTGGCACAGTGGTTAAGAGTCCGTCTGCAAATGCAGCGTACATGGGTTCGTGCCCCCGTCCGGGAAGATCCCACATGCCATGGAGCGGCTAGGCCCGTAAGCCATGGCCGCTGAGCCTGTGCGTCCGGAGCCTGTGCTCCGCAACAGGAGAGGCCACAACAGTGAGAGGCCCACTTACTGCAAAAAAAAAAAAAAAAAGAAAGAATACCATTATATTTTACCTGACACTTGATTTCCTATGTTAAAATAAACATTTTTATGTATTGCTAAAAAAATCGTAATTTGAATTCTGTTAACATGAGAAAATAAATAATATAGCCTATTTTATTAATATTACCTTTAATTTTTAATATCTTTAATATGTAATATTTTTATTACTTATACAAAATCTTCTATTTGTGGTCCTCTTCTTCAGAGACAGCTCCTAAAATTTTTTATTTAAATACAATATTTTACTTTTCTCAGTGGGTTTACTCTTTTCAAATTTACCCTTAGATTGGTTTAACTGATATTTTTGTACTATTACTTATCCTAGAGATATACAACTACAAGTATTTAATAAGACTTAGAAGCTGCCATTTGGGAGCTTGAAATTAAGCATCAAGGTATCTCTGCAAAATATTTAGAAGGACAAATAAATTCTTACTTTGTCTTCCTTCGAGGTTTCTGAATAGCTGGCTCCTCAGCTGGCTCCACGTTGATACCATTTTCATTTGGTAATAAAGATGCACTAGAAGTCTTCTTCTGGGTAAAGGCAGTCTCCAGTTCTGAAAATAAAGTAGATTAACTTTTCAAATTACCAGGATGTAAAAAGGAAAGTAATGTACAAGACTTCTGCAAGACAAAAGAACTTTAAGAATTTTAATTGGCCCCCAATTTTTTTCACCATCTTACAAATTCTTAATTTTTAAAATTTTACACCTCTAAACACTCAAGAGAAAGTTTGAAATTGTGACACCAAACAATATAGAAAAAAAAATTAAGTAATCCAACGCCCAGGGTGTGTCAGAGATCTCCAAGATTACTTCCGGGTTCTGTGATTCACTCAAAGGATTCACAAGTCAGTTACACTCATGGTTACACTTTATTACAGGGAAAAGATATTAAGCAGAATCAGCATAAAGGAAAAAGCTCATGGAGCAAAGTCCAAAAGAAAACAGGTACAAGTTTCCAAGAGTCCTCTATCAATGAAGTCACACAGGATATGCTAATTCTTCCAGCAACAAGTTGTGACAACACATATATTGCTTTCTCTTCCAGGCAAGCTCATCAGACACTCAACGTCCAGGGTTTTTATTGGGAGTGATCACATAGGCACCCTCTGCCGAGCACATACCAAAATTCTAGACTACCAGAAGAAAAGCAGATGTTTAGCATAAATCACATTGTGTGCACAAATGCACAGTGAGCCACCCTGATAGAGAAAGCTTTATATCAATGTAGAAAATTGTTTACCAGCCAAGTTCCCAGATGCCAGTCAAGAGGCCCTCTAGAAAGTAGGCCTCTCCAGGCCTGCTGTGTTAACTCTTTTCTGCACACAAGGTATTAAGTTCAAGTGAGTCAATGGAAGCTTCTAACCCACTAGAAACTCTTCCTATCCGGAAATACAGGAAATGGAATGCCCTCAAAGTCCCGAAAATTCTATTTTAAAAAACACTTACAGCCTGGGCTGGAAATATAATATAAGCAGTAGAGCCTACCACAGACGTTCTGAACAAAACAAAAATGAACAAAATTTAAAACACAGAAATTTAGAAAGCTGGACCTGTAGGGGTAGGTACATTCTAGAATGGCAGTCACAAGTACTCTTTGGCCTAAACTTAGTTGGGTCCTGAATTTTCTAAAAAGAGTCATTTCTATTAATAAATTTTTTTCATAAATTATATTCATGAATTATAAAAATTATATTTTTTCATGATTTATAAAACTATATAGGTATATTGGTATCCATCTTGACTTTCAAATTTTACCCTAACTGAATTACTAAGAGTAGTATGTCTTTTTTGAATTTTTGAAATTTATTATTTATTTTTATACAGCAGGTTCTTATTAGTCAACAGCAGTGTATACATATCAATCCCAATCACCCAATTCATCACACCACCACCACCACCACCCCGTCACTTTCCCCACTTGGTGTCCATAGGTTTGTTCTCTACATCTGTGTCTCAATTCCTGCCCTGCAAACCAGTTCATCATTTTTCTAGATTCCACATACATGTGTTAATATACAATATTTGTTTTTCTCTGACTTACTTCACTCTGTATTACAGTCTCTAGATCCATCCACGTCTCAACAAATGACCCAATTTCGCTCCTTTTTATGGCTGAGTAATATTCCATTGTATATATGTACCACTTCTTCTTTATCCATTTGTCTGTCAATGGGCATTTAGGTTGCTTCCATGACCTGGCTATTGTAAATAGTGCTGCGATGAACACTGGGGTGCATGTGTCTTTTTCAATTATGGTTTTCCCTGGGTATATGCCCAGTAGTGGGATTGCTGTATCATATGGTAATTCTATTTTTAGTTTTCTAAGGAACCTCCATACTGTTCTCCATAGTGGCTGTACCAATTTACATTCCCACCAGCAGTGCAAGAGGGTTCCCTTTTCTCCACACCCTCTCCAGCATTTGTTGTTTGTAGATTTTCTGATGATGCCCATTCTAACTGGTGTGAGGTGATACCTCATTGTAGTTTTGATTTGCATTTCTCTAATAATTAGTGATGTTGAGAAGATTTTCATGTGCTTCTTGGCCATCTGTATGTCTTCTATGGAGAAATGTCTATTTAGGTCTTCTGCCCATTTTTGGATTAGGTTGTTTGTTTTTTCAATATTAACCTGCATGAGTTGTTTATATATTTTGGAGGTTAATTCTTTCTCCATTGATTCGTTTGCAAATATTTTCTCCCACTCTGAGGGTTGTCTTCTCGTCTTGTTTATAGTTTCCTTTGTGGTGCAAAAGCTTTTAAGTTCCATTAGGTCCCATTTGTTTATTTTTATTTCCATTACTCTAGGAGGTGGATCAAAAAAGATCTTGCTGTGATTTATGTAAAAGAGTGTTCTTCCTATGTTTTCCTCTAAGAGTTTTATAGTGTCTGGTCTTACATGTAGGTCTCTAATCCATTTTGAATTTATTTTTGTGTATGGTGTTAGAGAGTGTTCTAATTTCATTCTTTTACATGTAGCTGTCCAGTTTTCCCATCACCATTTATTGAAGAGGCTGTCTTTTATCCATTACATATTCTTGCCTCCTTTGTCATAGATTACTTGACCACAGGTGCGTGGGTTTATCTCTGGGCTTTCTACCTTGTTCCATTGATCTATGTTTCTGTTTTTAGGCCAGTACCATATTGTCTTCATTACTGTAGCTTTATAGTATAGTCTGAAGTCAGGGAGTCTGATTCCTCCAGCTCCATTTTTTTCCCTCAAGACTGCTTTGGCTATTTGGGGACTTTTGTGTCTCCATACAAACTTTAAGATTTTTTGTTCTAGTTCCATAAAAAAAATGCCATTGGTAATTTGATAGTGATTGCATTGAATCTGTAGATTGCTTTGGGTAGTATAGTCATTTTCACAATATTCATTCTTCCAATCCAAGAACATGATATATCTCTCCATCTGTTGGTATCATCTTTAATTTCTTTCATCAGTGTATATAGTTTTCTGCATACAGGTCTTTTGTCTCCCTAGGTAGGTTTATTCCTAGGTATTTTATTCTTTTTGTTGCAATGGTAATTGGGAGTGTTTCCCTAATTTCTCTTTCAGATTTTTCATCATTAGTGTAAAGGAATGCAAGAGACTTCTGTGAATTAATTTTCTATCCTGAAACTTTACCAAATTCATTGATTTGCTCTAGTAGTTTTCTGGTGGCATCTTTAGGATTCTCTATGTATAGTATCATGTCATCTGCAAACAGTGACAATTTTACTTCTTTTCCAATTTGTATTCCTTTTATTTCTTTTTCTTCTCTGATTGCTGTGGCTAGGACTCCAAAACTATGTTGAATAATAGTGGTGAGAGTGGACATCCTTGTCTTGTTCTTGATCTTAGAGGAAATGCTCTCAGTTTTTCACCATTGAGAATGATGTTTGCTGTGGGTTTGTCGTACATGGCCTTTATTATGTTGAGGTAGGTTCCCTCTATGCCCACTTTCTGGAGAATTTTTATCATAAATGGGTGTTGCATTTTGTCAAAAGCTTTTTCTGCATCTATTGAGATGACTATATGGTTTTTATTCTTCAAGTTGTTAACATGGTGTATCACATTGATTGATTTGCATATACTGAAGAATCCTTGCATCGCTGGGATAAATCCCACTTGATCATGGTGTATGATCCTTTTAATGTGTTGTTGCATTCTGTTTGCTAGAATTTAGTTGAGGATTTTTGCATCTATGTTCATCAGTGATATTGGTCTGTAATTTTCTTTTTTTGTAGTATCTTTGTCTGGTTTTGGTATCAGGGTGATGGTGGCCTCACAGAATGAGCTTGGGAGTGTTCCTTCCTCTGCAATTTTTGGGAAGAGTTTGAGAAGGATGGGTGTTAGCTCTTCTCTAAATGTTTGATAGAATTCACCTGTGAAGCTCTCTGGTCCTGGACTTTGTTTGTTGGAAGATTTTTAATCACAGTTTCAATTTCCTTACTTGTGATTGGTCTGTTCATATTTTCTATTTCTTCCTGGTTCAGTCTTGGAAGGTTATACCTTTCTAAGAATTTGTCCATTTCTTCCAGGTTGCCCATTTTATTGGCATATAGTTGCTTCTAGTAGTCTCTTAGGATGCTTTGTATTTTTGTGGTGTCTGTTTTAACTTCCCCTTTTTCATTTCTCATTTTATTGACTTGAGTCCTCTCCCTTTTTTCTTGATGAGTCTAGCTAATGGTTATCAATTTTGTTTACCTTCTCAAAGAACCAGCTTTTAGTTTTATTGATCTTTGCTATTGTTTTCTTTGTTTCTATTTCACTTATTTCTGCTAATATTTATTTCTTTCCTTCTGCTAACTTTGGGTCTTGTTTGTTCTTCTCTCTCTAGTTACTTCAGGTGTAAGGTTAGATTGTTTGAGATTTTTCTCGTTTCTTGAGGTAGGCTTGTATAGCTATAAACTTCCCTCTTAGAACTGCTTTTGCTTCATCCCAAAGGTTTTGGATCGTCATGTTTTCATTGTCATTTGTCTCTAGGTATTTTTTGATTTCCTCTTTGATATCTTCAGTGATCTCGTGGTTATTTAGTAACGTATTGTTTAGCCTCCATGTGTTTGTGTTTTTTACATTTTTTTCCCCTGTAATTCATTTCTAATCTCATAGCATTGTGGTCAGAAAAGATGCTTGATATGATTTCAATTTTCTTAAATTTACTGAGGCTTGATTTGTGACCCAAGATGTGATCTATCCTGGAGAATTTTCTGTGTGCACTTGAGAAGAAAGTGTAATCTGCTGTTTTTGGATGGAATGTCCTATAAATAACAATTAAATCTATCTGGCTTATTGTGTTATTTAAAGCTTCTGTTTCCTTATTTATTTTCATTTTGGATGATCTGTGCATTGGTGTGAGGTGTTAAAGTCCCCCACTATTATGTGTTACTGTCAATTTCCTGTTTTATAGCTGTTAGCAGTTGCCTTATATATTGAGGTGCTCCTATGTTGGGTGCAATTATATTTATAATTGTTATATCTTCTTCTTGGATTGATCCCCTGAACATTAGGTAGTGTCCTTCCTTGTCTCTTGTAACATTCTTTATTTTAAAGTCTATTTTATCTGATATGAGTATTGCTACTCCAGCTTTCTTTTGATTTTCATTTGCATGGAATATCTTTTTCCATCCCCTCACTTTCAGTCTGAATGTGTCCCTAGGTCTGAAGTGGGTCTCTTCTAGACAGCATATATGTGGGTCTTGTTTTTGTATCCATTCAAAAAGCCTGTGTCTTTTGGTTGGAGCATTTAATCCATTCACGTTTAAGGTAATTATCGATATGTATGTTCCTATTACCATTTTCGGTTTGTTTTGTAGGTCCTTTTCTTCTCTCGTGTTAGAGAAGTTCCTTTAGCATTTGTTGTAGAGCTGGTGTGGTGGTGCTGAATTCTCTTAGCTTTTGCTTGTCTGTAAAGCTTTTGATTTCTCCATCAAATCTGAATGAGATCCTTGCTGGGTATAGTAATCTTGGTTGTAGGTTCTTCCCTTTCATCACTTTCAGTATATCATGCCACTCCCTTCTGGCTTGTAGAGTTTCTGCTGAGAAATCAGCTGTTAACCTTATGGGAGTTCCCTTCTATGTTATTTGTCGTTTTTCCCTTGCTGCTCTCAATAATTTTTGTCTTTAATTTTTGCCATTTTGATTACTATGTGTCTCAGCGCGTTTCTCCTTGGGTTTATCCTGTATGGGACTCTCTACGATTCCTGGACTTGGGTGGCTATTTCCTTTCCCATGTTAGGGAAGTTTTCGACTATAATCTCTTCAGATATTTTCTCTGGTCCTTTCTCTCTCTCTTCTCCTTCTGGGACCCTTATAATGTGAACGTTGTTGCATTTTATGTTGTCCCAGAGGTCTCTTAGGCTGTCTTCATTTCTTTTCATTCTTTTTTCTTTATTCTGTTCATAGTGGTGAATTCCACCATTCTGTCTTCCAGGTCACTTATCCATTCTTCTGCCTCAGTTATTCTGCTATTGATTCCTTCTAGTGTAGTTTTCATTTCAGTTATTGTACTGTTCATCTCTATTTGTTTGTTCTTGAATTCTTCTAGGTCTTTGTTAAGCATTTCTTGCATCTTCTCGATCTTTGCCTCCATTCTTTTCCCAAGGTCCTGGATCATCTTCACTATCATTATTCTGAATTCTTTTTCTGGAAGGTTGCCTATCTCCACTTCATTTAATTGTTTCTCTGGGGTTTTATCTTGTTTCTTCATCTGGTACATAGCACTGTGCCTTTTCATCTTGCCTATCTTTCTGTGAATGTGGTTTTTGTTACACAGGCTGCAGGATTGTGGTTCTTCTTGCTTCTGCTGTCTGCCCTCTGGTGGATGAGGCTATAGTTCTGAAGGCTGGAAGTCTGAGATCAAGGTGCCAGCATGGTTGTATTCTGGCGAGAGCTTTCTTGCAAACAGATGTCTTTTTGCGTGTCCTCACAAGGCAGGGAGAGTGAGTAAGTGTCTAAGAGAGTAGTTTTAATTCAACTATATTTACTGCCAGTAATAAAATAAATTGTAGAGTAGGTAAAGCTGTCTTAGGGTCATTTCTGTCTCTGTTTCCTTCTCTGCCCTCTTCTGCCCACTCCTTCTCCTCTTAGTGCCCCCAGGCACTGTGGTATCCCATTTCAACTTGCATCTCAAAACTGTGCTCCATTCTCCTAACTTTTCTAGTTCCTGCCCTCTACTCCTATAATTCTTTCATCTAATAAGGATCTACTATCTTCTAAGAAGCAAGGAATTAGTCAGGGAAACTATTTTGTAATAAACTATTCCTCGGGGCTGATGTTAATAGGAGAGAGCTAATCTCCCAATCTTTGTTCCTTCCTTTGTTTTACTCTAACAAAATCCATTTTCTTTTTTCTAATTATTATAAAAGTTATATACATAAAATATATAAAATTAATAAAACATAAATGAAGAAAGAAAAATTTTTTAAATCATACCTAATTCCTCCTTCTAAAAAACCTACCACTGTTGACACTTTGCTATAGCCTTCCATTCTTTTTACATATGTGTTTGTATATACATATGGTCTGGATTGTATTGTGTCCCCCAGAAAAGATATGTGCAAGTCCTAACTCTCAATACTTGTGAATGAGATTCTAGAACTAGGGTCTTTGCAGATGTAATCAAGTTAAGATGAGGTCATGCTGGAGTAGGATGGGCCCTAAATCCAGTGATTGTTGTCCTTATAAGAAGAGCAAAATTTGGACACAGAAACACAGGGAAAAATCTGAAGATGGAGGCACAGAATGGAGTTATGCTGTCACAAGCCAAAGAATGCCAAGAATTATAAACAACCACCAGAATCTAGAAGAGGCTAGGGTGGATTCTTTCCTAGAGCCTTTGGAGGGAGCGTGGCCCTGTGGACACCTTGATTTTGGACCTCTATCCTCTAGAACTGTCAGAGACTAGATTTCTGTTGTTTTAAGTCATTCAGTTTGTGGTAATCTGTTCCAGTAGCCCTAGGAAATTAATAAAACATATTTTACAAAAATGGAACCCTTTGATACATACTATTTTATAATCTTTGTTTTTGACTTAACAATATATTACTGATGGCTTTCCATGTCACTATTTTACTTTAACAATCCTTTTAATGAGTATTGGTTTCTATTAAATGGGTAAAACATGATTTATCTAGGCAGTATCACATTGTTAAATATTTGGTTATTACCAGTTTCTACTCTTATGTTACAGTTAGCATCCTTTAATTACTGTAGCCATTGTAGTTACTTCTATTCCTATAAGTTCAGATAGGCTATATCAATTTATACTTTCTATCAGTGGTGCACGAGTATACCAATTTCTCACCAATACTTTTATATCCAACAGTTTGGGATTTTATAATCTTTAAAAAGCATTGCCAGTTTGATAGCAAAATAATGATATAATATTCTGTTTACCTTGTGAATAGTGCTGAGACATAGTGAGACTCAAAACATGTTGGCTTTTGCTCCATTATATTGCTGTTAATACAGAATTTTTCCTTTCCCCACTAATCTCAATGTCCATTCATAATATACCAAATTCATATACATACCAAGATCTGAACTTTCTGTTTTGGTCCTGAATTTGCACCCCTTCTCATAATCTGTACAGATACGCTCAAAAGAGATCCTCTAAAATATTCCTGACTTAACCCATGGGAATTACTCTGGCGATAAAAATTTTAAGCAAAAAAGAAAAAACTGGGATATGGTTGGGGAAAAATAGGAACAGACAGGTTTCTAATCATACCCCCAAAATCACAACTGCTGTCACAACCTAACCTTAGTTTCTTTACATACCAAGAGGTAGCTTCGTCTTCTTCTGTCTCCTTTGAACAGGAGCTTCTTGATGTTCTATGGGGTCTTTAGTTGGTGGCTCACTGCCCTCAGGTGGCCTGTGAACAGCAGTCTGAACAAGACCTTCCAAAGAAGCACTAGCTACAGAGAAATGGAGTTGGAAAAAATTGGCATAACTTGAGCAGAGATTACTAAGTCTTAAAAATATAGGGAAATGGGGAACTGGAATGTTTCCTATATAATAACCTCTTCTCTTACAGAACTAATTGTGCCCCAAATCTTGATTTCCTCCCTCCTCACCTGTAACTTTGGGCTTTAAGTTGGGAAAAGAAATAAATGAGGGAACAAGGAAGAATGAGGAAGCAAAAAACCAGGGGGCTAGAAAGAGGAATAAAAGAAAGGCAGGAGGAAATCTGCTTCTGAACTTTCAAAAAGGTGAAAATGTAATGGAAACTGTCACCATAGGGAATGCTCTTGTCTTATGCCTTGAGAATTATCAGCCTGTATATAGTTTAGTCCTTCATTAATAAATTAACACACGATAAAGTCATCACAGATAACTGGAGTTAACAGACTACTTAAAAATCTCTTCATCTGATCATTTCAATCTCTCCCCTCATCAAATCTTTGAACAGATTTCGACCCATTTTGGCAGATTTGAATTTTACTTCATTACATTCACTACATTGCTTCTTCACAAAAGAAGAAATACAAATGAGTGAATAAACAAATGAAAAGATGCTTAACCTCATTAGTATTCAGAGAAACGGAAACTAAAATAAGCTACTTTTTGCCCACTAAGTTGACAAAAAGAATTGAAAGATTGATATTTTCCAATGTTCTCAAGGATTTAGCAAATGTGACACTCAAACTCTGTTGGTGGCAAGAAAATAACAACTCCCTTGAAGGCAATTTAGCAGAAATTTATCATATTAATAATGCGTAGGTCCTTCTGTCTAGCAGTTTTACTGCTAGTAATCCATCCTATAGAAATATCTCTTCCCCACCATCTACTATTTTATGTAGAAGAACTGCAAATTGTAGGAGTGAAAAATTTGAAGTACCCTAATTGAAAAACAATTTTAATAAAAGCCTAGCAATGCACCTCCTTTTTTGTCTAGAGCACTGATTTTTTTCTCTTTTTTACAAGAAAAAAAGCTGGTAGCTGGGATAGAGCCCTACCTCTGCTACTCCAACTCAGTCTTTATTGCATCCTTCACCAGTGACCTTTCTAAATCCACATGTACATGTCTGTACTTAATTGTGAGTATATTTTTAGGGCCTAGCACTTCAGTATCTTTGTGAATCTAAGTCTCTCTGCCTCTCTTTTCTTTTTGTTGCATATCTGTATGTCTTTCTCTATGCATCCATTTCCATTTCTCTCTTTTCCTCCACCCACCATGTATTCCGCCATTTGTTAGGCAATGATAAGCTAATACAAGTTTCCAACCAGGTATAAGGTATGATCAGCTACGAGCTTTAGGAAGTTCATCCAGCAGTGGTGGGCAGGACCGACTAGGGTGGAAGAAAGCTAGAAGTACAGAACAATGTTGGAGGCTACCCCCATAGCTCAGGTGAGAAGAAGAAAGGAGCTAGGCTAACTACGGTTGTCCTGACAGTGGAAATGACAAGGGGAAAGAAACGTAAAAGATACTACAGAAGAAGCAAGCTTGTGAGAGGCAGCAAGTAGAGTGAAGCGACCAGTGAGAGGCGACTGAGGTTTCCAGCCCCAGTCACTGGGAGAGTGGGGGTGGGGGGGGCATTAAAAGAAATTTGTAAGTAAGCAGTAAAACTTGATTAATTGTTGAAAGTGATGATAAATTCTGGACGTGCTAAGTTTGAGTTACTGACAGAACGTCCAGGATTATCAGTGAATGGGACAAAAAAAGTTCACAGAACTTGCTCATTATTGGAGCTTTAATACCTGGATGATACGGCCCTGCCTTCAGACTCATGTTCTAATGCAGAGACTCTCTGACTGAAATGAGGGATCCAAGAACCTTTTGTCTCTAAATCCAGTATCCTGTTCAAGGGTCTGGAACCAATCATGGCTCAAGACAACTTATGTTATCTAGGGATGAAAGACCTCAAAGAGTCCAAGAATGTTGTGGAAGTAAGATCCAGGGCAGCATAACCCTTTACTACACAAATGTTTCTAGATACTCTTCAGGCTGCCCACTACCTTGTCCCTCACTGCCACCAAGAATCCCACTGCTTCAAAGTGAACTGGATTCTATCCTTAACACAGCAGTGACTTGGGACTGGGGCCTGGCCTCTCCCTGATCTGTGATGTTTAGCATGCCTGAGGTCCTGGGAAAACTTGTGATCCCACACAACAGAGAACACTTCTTACCTAGCGTGGTTTTTGTTCTGGGCTTCTTTTTCTTAGGACGACTAAGTGGAATATCATCTATAAAACAGAAAGAACAACAGAAAAGGCTGCCTAAAATTCAATGCAGGGAAAAGTCAAAGGGGAACTTTTAGTAGGGAAGACCTTTCCCTCTTTTCCCCTGGGTCCAGCCAATTTCTATACATTAGGGGAAGAAGGCAAGAGACTGACAAAGTCAAAGGGAGCCCATAGTACAGTACCAGTAGCTCATGGCTGGTCAGTAATGTTATAAACTGTGACAGAAAGTGGGCTCACCAAATATTCATCTGATCCCCTACATTTCCCAGCCCCCTTGCACTTAGGTGTGGCCTATGACTGGTTTTGGCCAATAGGCTGCAAGATGAAGTGATCTGTGCCATTTGGGGGCCAAAACATTGAAAAAGCCAGTGAGTAACCCTCCAGCTTCTCCTTCCCTTGCTGTGGCAACTGAGAAGGTCTCATGTTAAGATGGCAGAACCACAGCATGGAAGCAGCCGGGATCACTACATCATTAGTGAAGAGGTAGAGAAAGGTAACTGTCCTGGATTGTTGCTACAATGGACTTTGCATTAACCAGAAAAACCCCGTATAATATTAAGTAACTGAGATTTTGGGGTTAGTGTGACATAACCCAGCCTATCCTGATGAAATGAGACAAAGGAAGATGTAGTCCCTATTATGGAACTAAAATCTAGCCAACAGTTATGTTCTAGGTGACTCCATTCAGGGATGAATGCTTTTTAATTTATAAGGTCAAATATCAGCCACATAACTAGTGTTATATATCAACCATCCTTTAAAAATGGCAGTCATAGGAGATTACTATGATAAAAAATTGTAGCATTATAAATTATACTATTCAGATTCAAGTTTAAGAGAAAATGAAGGACTCAAACTAACTTTCAAACACCAAATACTGTATTTAGAAAGTTTTACATTAACAGTGAACTAACTCACCTTGATTAGCACTTTATATGACACCGACCAAATTTAATCAGGACAGAGACAAAAAGAGAAACTCTGTTAATTAGAAATCTATTATATTGTTAGACTGAAAATTGACTTAAATCATTACAAACTTAAAATTAGCTTTCACACAAAATCAGCTAGTTTACAAACTAGCTTATTAATTATCAGTAATAAGCTGTTTAATAAGACTAACAAAGTAACCCCAATATTTTCTGAACCTACATATACATATTCCCTACTGTCTATTAATAAAGTGGATTAAACAGATTAAGAACTCTTATTTTGTCACTGATTAAAATCAGCTTAAACTCTGAGGAAACTATTCTAGCAAACAAAAGAGGATCAGAATTCTGATAAACAAGACATTAAAACATTAAGAATGGATCCATTATCCTAACATGTGGACATTTAGTCTCTGAAACAGAGCATTTAATTATAACTGTTATCTTGATGATTCAAGAATTATTCATCTTTAAACTTTCAGGAAGTCTCTTTTGAATTATTATAATTGTGTAAAAGTACTAGTCAATTTTTCTCACTTTACTCACTTTGCACTCTTAAAACTCAATAATAAAATTACTGTAAATTATTTTTACCTTGGCACAGGTGGAAGGGCTCGTGGAGGACGCTATGGGGAAAAGAAAAAGAAAACTTCTTGTAAGTAAAAACCTTAGAGCATCTTTACTTCATGTATTTCAAATTTTTGATAATCCTATTCGTCAAGTGAAACCCAGGAGGTACTGATGAGAATCAGATGGGCAATTTTAATTTGTCCTATCACTTCTGAAATTCATATAAAGTTCCTTCCTTCCTATATTCCTTAATGTCTACAGACCAGGCTCTGTTCTAAGCATCAGGGATATAGTAATGAACAAAACAGAGGGATCCTTGCTCTTATGGAACTTACATTCTAGTGGTTAAGTATTAGACAATAACGTTAAGTATATATATTATATATATATATGGAAGAGAAGAATGAGGAGTGCTACTTTAGTTAGGAAAAGTCTCTCTTTAGTTAGGAGATATTTGAGTTGAGACCTGAATAAGAAAGGAGCCAAAGGGGAGCAAATACAAAGTCCTTTATGGGAGATAGGGCTTAGAGAGTTCCAGATAAAAGAAGGCCAATAAGGATGAAGCACAGTTATCAAGGCATGGGCAGATTACTTAGGAAGACAAAGGGAAGGAGCCTGGATTTTTTTTTTAATTGGGGTATAGCTGCTTTACAATGTTGTGTTAGTTTCTGCTGTACAGCAAAGTGAATCAGCCATATGTATACATATATCCTCTCTTTTTTGGATTTCCTTCCCTTTTAGGTCACCACAGAGCACTGAGTAGAGTTCCCTGTGCTATACAGCAGGTTCTCATTAGTTATCTATTTTATACATAGTTGTTATATATGTCAATCCCAATCTCCCAATTCATTCCATGTGCCCCTTCCCTCCTTGGTGTCCACTCGTTTGTTCTCTACGTCTGTGTCTCTATTTCTGCTTTGCAAATAGGTTCATCTGTACCATTCAAAACGGATTAAAGACCTAAACGTAAGACCGGACACTATAAAACTCTTAGAGGAAAAGATAGAAAGAACACTCTTTGACATAAATCACAGCAAGATCTTTTTTGACCCACCTCCTAGAGTAATGAAAATAAAAACAAATGGGACCTAATTATACGTAAAAGCTTTTGCACAGCAAAGGAAACCATAAACAAGATGAAAAGACAACCCTCAGAATGAGAGAAAATATTTGAAAATGAAGCAACTGAAAAGGGATTAATTTCCAAAATATACAAACAGCTCATGCAGCTCAGTATCAAAAAACAAACAACCGAATCAAAAAATGGGCGGAAGACCTAAATAGACATTTCTCCAAAGAAGACATACAGATGGCCAAGAGGCACATGAAAACATGCTCAACATCACTAATTATTAGAGATTTTGTTTTAATTCAATGGGAAGCAAATGGAGGTTTTAAGCCACATAGTAACATACTGTTTAAAAACATACTCTGAAACATACAGTGTGAAAAACGCATTTAGGGCAGAAAGAAAAAAAAACTTATAAATGCTATTTTACATGAATAAGAAAAGTGTTTGCAGTTCAGAGAAATTACAGTTAAGTAGCACTCTGGAATCTTTCAAAATAAAATACTAACAAAAATGCCTAGAAATCAGTGTAATGTTCCAAGTATCTCAAGCTGCTTGCAAAGGACATTGATTTTAAAAGGTTAAATTTTAAACACTCGTAGTTTGTTCCACAACTGTCCCATTTACCTATCCATTCATTCAAAAAGTGTGTTAATACAAACGCTAAAAGATTAGGACAAGGCCAGCTGTCTTAACACTATCCAGTTGTCAAAATTCAACCAGCAAAGAAGGATAGTTATTGCTCTTTCTATCTATCTACAAAGCGGTATCGTTCTAAAGATGCTATGGACCGCTTTCTCACCAAAGACTCAGTTCACACGGTAACTCCACATTTCAAAAGTCCCGCAAAAATGACGTATCATCCATCCAGAAACCCAACCTCGACACTCCTCAAAAGTAGGACGGCTCAACTCAACTGAAAGTAACTAAGGCTCGCTTACCACCTGCTTCTTCCCCATTCCGTCTAAAGCTGGCCTGCCTGGGAGCCGCTGACTCCCAGCTGCGGGTCGCTCACACCCCGCCCGGGTTCACACCCGCCCAGCGGGCCCCGCGCACAGGCGCAATGCGTCATCGAACTGCGCCGCACAGGCCGCTCTGGCCCGCAGCCTCCTCCATCAGGGTGGGAGCGAGGGGGAGCGCGGAGACCTGGTGGGGCTTTTCCAGTCTACTCCTGCGGAAAAGGGGGCGTCGGAGTCAGGGCTGATATGCCCGGGAGGAGAGACTCCAGCGGGTGCGGTGTAGCAATCACGATTTTTCCATGGTTTCCCAAGTGGTTGCGGTGATTTGTTCGAGGGAAGTGAGAGAAGCCCAGGATTAAAAGTCCCCGCTGGCAAACGGCTCTTTCCCGGGCGGCTAAATGCCCTCCGGAGGAGTCGATAAAGAGACCCTCTGTGGCAGGCCCCGGACCCGCAGGGGAAGGGGCGGCAGCAGGGTGAGGCGTCGTCATGGCAACATGACGGAAACTTCAAGCCTGGCTCCTCGCCCAGCTCCTGGAGTTCGGGTCCGGCCTAGAGAAGAACTTCCCACCCCCGACCCCCAGCCCTATCCTGTGAGCGCCAAATGGGCCGATGCGCGCGCTCCCCGAGCTGGGCTGTCCCCTTCTGGTCCCCAGCATGTCGGTGTCCACTCCGCCCCAGAGGTAGCGGCAGCGGCCAACGCGCACCTCACCGCTCACCGGGTGGTCCTCCTCCACCCGGAGCCCCGAGTTCGTCCGCATGGCGCTGTGCCGGCCTGGCTCTCTCGGCGCAACAGCCGCCGGCCGGAGCCTGGCTCCCCGCTACGCCGCCGCCTCCGGGACCTGCGGGAGGCGGGGGCTTCGCGCCTGACTAAGCCACCGCCCCCGGGCCGGGTCTCCGCCTGCCCCCGCTTTGCCAAGCTCGACGTTCCGAGGCGTCGGAGTTACTCACCCGTTTAGCCACCAGGCGCGCGCGCGCGCGCGTGTGTTGATACAGGCAGTTCTCAGATTCTCTCCAGTTGCGCGCGCGCGCGTGTGTGTGTGTGTGTGTGTGTGTTGATACAGGTAATTCTCAGATTCTCTCCAGTTGCTTGTGTGTGTGTGTGTGTGTGTATATGTGTGTTTATAGAGGCAATTCTCAGATTCTCTCCAGTTGCTTATCCTCCATCCAAAGAAGCACGGCATAAAATCAATCCGGGGTCACATGAGTGTTAAAAATGACTTAATTTTCTTCGTTTTGTTTGGTCGAGTTTCTTAGAAAAATAACACTTATTCACTTTAAATTTAAAAGCTACAGATGTTTTGAAGCATACACTCTGTTTTATAGTTAAGAAAGAGCAGAGGGATGGCATGGATGTGGAAAAAGTTAGGGAATGATGCAGAAGATGAACAGATACTAGGGCAAGTTTAGCGACTGGAAGTCTCAGACTCTAGGAGGTAAGAAAAACAAGACTTCGTGGAATAACATCCTCATCCCGTGGTTTTCTCAGATGTTGGTCTCTAGCACTAAAATCCATTGCTTTTTCCTAATTTAGGCATAAATGTAGATACTGGCTTTTGGGAAAATTAATGATTGTTGCAGCCCTGATCAAAAGAATACTTTTTCCTTGCAGCCTAATGTGTAAAATGAGAGCAGTGCTGTTTCCGTAAGTTTTGATGTTAGATGTGAAATGTGTATATTAACCCTTCTTTCTTGCAGTTAGTCAACTAGGTACTTTTTGTCAAATCCATGTTTATACAACAGAAGTTTCATAAGGTAAAATACAGTTTCTGAAAATAAATATGACGTATTTTATTTACGAAAGCTCTTTTTGTCTGAATCATACAAAAGCCATGTGAAATCTGTGAAAGGTTCTTTTACTCAGTGACTTAACATTGTTATATTCCTACCAATTGCTGCATATGAGGTAAAGGAACACATTTTTCCCTGAAAGCCAAATAGATAACTCTACATAACCATACGATACAGGTTGTTTTTTCAAATAAGATTAATTAATGAACTGCAGTACTTTTAAAGTTGCACACATTATAATAGGGCAAATACAATAGTGCTGTTTTAGATTGCAGCTGTTTTTCCAGCTCTCTGTAATAGGTGAACATTGTTACAACTCCAGTATTAAGCAGAAGGCCTCCTTAAGATTCAGTATCAGAGGAAACCCATGTTGCTGGTACCCACTGAGGCTCCTCCTGAGCCTTCTGAACTGCAGACAACAACTGGGCACATGCATCTTGCAAGCTGTCATTCACAATCACGTGATCCAAAAACTGGCCAAACTGAGTCTCCATTTTTTGGGCTAAATCCTCCATCTCTTGTAGATCTTCATCCTTTAGGAGAAATCGAAAAATATGCATAGCAAACTTAATGAGACAAATAGAAATAATATGCAGTTTGTAATTGCTGTTACATTTAGTTGTGTAGCTGTTTATAAACACCATTATGTCATATAAATGTCCTCCATTCTAAACCACAAAACTTATGTTTCTATCTTTAGTCTTGCTTAATGTCTTCCAGGTCAGGTTTTCACAAAATTGAGCAACAGTTTGTAGATAGACCAATCCTCTCAACTTCCTATTTGGACTTAAATTATCTTACTCTATTATCTAAACACTTGAAGCTCTCAAACCATATACAACATAAAACCAAAGAAATTTTACCAGTTAAATATAAATAAAACTTAAAACATAAATTTCAAATGAACATTAATCTGATAAGAATGACATTATTTTGCAGATACAAAATGGCCACTTTGCACATGAGGATGGTATGAACTGGTTCTTCGAAATGAGGCATACCTTTATTACTCTTTGCTTCATGATGACTGAATTCACCTATAATATTGTCTATTTCTACTATTGTGAAATGTTTGTTTAGTCAAGGTCATTTGGCCTTCACTTGGCACTAATGCATTAAATCCATTGCTACTATTTTCTTATTTGTCCACAATAATTAAAATAGTACAACTTATTGCTAATGCGATCATAAACACAAACATAAATACAGGCACTGAGATCTTGTGGCAATACTCCTTTATAAGATGACCAGAAGCAATTTTGTTAATTTTTTAGATTGCCATAAAAATGAGAACAGAATTTGAAATGCCCATAAGACTCAGAGAATATATCCACAGACTCCACTGTTTGAAATGCAAACTGGAGAATCAAACTTTCATACGGTAGCCATTGACAAAATAATGAAGATAAAAATAGAGAGATAAAGGATAATACAATGATACCTCATGCTCCCATCAGTAACACATATACTAAAATTGGAATGATGTAGAGATTAGCACGGCCCCTATTCAAGGATGACATGCAAATTCGTGGAGCAGTCCATATGTTTAATTTGAGCTTTGCAAGATGAAAAAGTTCTGGAGATCTGCTTCACAATATAAATAGACTTAACACTACTTAACTGTACACTTAAAATGGTTAAGATGGTAAGTTTTGTGTTTTAAGTTATATGTTTTTTACCACACACACTTACACGCACACACAAACAAGTGGATGTAATATCTTGATCTAGGTGATGGTTACCTGGGTGCATACACATGTAAAAAGTCATTGAGCTGTACACTTAAGATGTATACACCTTGCTGAATGTATGTTATGATTTAAAATATTTAAAGTGTATTTAACGAAAAAAATATATATGTATATCTGGGAAAAAGAATCACAATTAACTAGAGCATTTTAAAGTAAATTCAAATGCTTTTGTAAAATAAGTAATCTATTTAAAATACACACACCCAATTTCTGTGTGACTGCAAATTGTGGCTTGAGGGCCTTTTTTTTAAAAGCTAAACCCCAAAACAGGAGAAAAAAAATGAGTAGCCTTATAGTATTATTAAACTTTATTTTAGTATCTATAAGTGATGTCCAGTAAAAAGGATAAATGAAACAAAAATCATAAATTTTTGTTTCATTAGAAACAAAAATTATATTCCTTAACATAGGGACGCTCTGGAAACAATACAGTAATTTTTTGACTAGGAAAAAAACCCCACAATACACTCATCTATTTCCTCTGTATCTTACCTTGAACTTCATGTCCACAAAGTAGTTTGTAATGATCTTGGCATTTTTCCGAGATTGCTTCATACAACTCATGCTAGATGGCTTTATAAATATGACATAGGGCTTCAGTTCATGGGTTCGAGCCACTTGAATACCCTACACAGAAAAATTAAGTGCACATTTAAGAACAGAAGTCCTAGCAACCAAAATATCTCAGTTGGCAGAGCATGAGATTGAAGATCTAAAAACAGAAGTCCTAATTTCCTAGAATCAACATGAATGTTCTCAAAATTTCTAAGAACAGAAATTAGCAGTTATTTTTAACCAGAGTATATTCTCATGTGCTCCCAAGTCCTCAACTCTAAAAAACATTTTAATAATTAAGAGATGGAGTTCTGGAATCAAAATTAAGATCAAATACTGGTCCTTCCTCTTGCTAGCTATGACATCCTTATTGAAATCTGAGAATAGGATTCTATACATGATCTCATGGGGAAAAGACAAGGACAGACTCTCAAGGCCAATCAGCTCTGTTTCACCCTCACTTCCCTTTCTTCTTGCCATTGTCTCAAACCAGATAAACCTGACATCTTCACACTGACCACCAGTTTGACCACCAAGTGAGAACAAATCTCATGTCCCCTGATTTTCTTTAGCACACAAGATATATTTTTACATGACTACAGAAAATACAAAGAAAATACAGGATTATAAAAATTTGGACTACATGTTGTATGTTTTTTATCTTACCTTAACTCGCTTATTCCTGCTCTATTCCACATATGGTCTCAGGGAGACAGCTATCGATATGAAAACATAGGAATCTCACCTCCTTGTGTAAAGCAACATGTTATTCCCTCCACAGGAAGTTACCTTGATGCCTTTGTGATCAAGGTCAAAGGAAGATTCTTAGTTTTCTTTATGGCTACCTGCTCAGTTCTGTTTTGTTTTGTTTTTTTGTCTGAGAAACTAGATTTTTTTCCTCAGCTAAGACAAGATAATGGCAATTGATCCTTCAAGTAAGATCCTGGTCCTTAGACATGGGAAGTGGTCTTATCCTAACAGAATAAAGTGTCTCAACTACAACCTAAAGCATGTGCATAAAATGGATGACATGCATTCATTACTTTGGGGAGATGGGAAATACACCACCACAGACCCACCTGAGGCTCTAAGTCCATGACACAAATCTTTCCTTCATCAAGGACTGCTTGAACAGCATCCACACTAGTGCCATACAGGTGGCCTTTGTACTCACCATACTCGAGCATCCTGCAAGGGTGGGATAAAGAAAAGAACTGTTGCTTCAGGTAAAATATTATTAGTAATAACATAAAGATAAACTCCAACAGAATAGAATAAAATATGTGGACCCTGATGGCACAAAATGAATTAGTGGATGTTTGACAGGAGAAAACAAATATGTTAGGAGATCTAGGACTTAACTACTTCTTCAAATTCTCTAAAATCTGCAGCTCAGTTCTGCTCCCTCTCCAAACTCAATGATTTGGTGTACTAGTAAATCAATATACATTTCCTTACTCAATTTTCCAGAAGCAAAAAAAAATTACCCCAGGAGTTTTGGACAATGCATAAAAATAGCGGTTCTATTTTGAATGTTAAACAACCAGAGGGGAGAATCAGATTCTGGACGTCTAGCTTACCTGTGACTATACATGAGGCTTTCAAATGTTTCCTTTGACACATAGTGATACTCACGGCCATCCATTTCATAACTCTTTTTGGAACGAGTAGTATCTGACAAAAAAAGGGAATTTTAAAAAAAGATTTTAGAATCTTCAAAATGTTTTACTACCCATATGCATTTGGATAAAGATGTCTGATCAAAATAAATAAATTAATACATAAACGGATAGATAAATTTAATG